TTTTTTTGTTTTGTGTGGGGGGGGGGAGGGAGGGGTTGTGCTTTTCCTAAATTAGTTTTTTTTACACATTTTTAAATAATTTTTTATTTTTTACATTGTTTTAAATAGTTTAAAAAAAAAATACTGTTGGGGGTAGGGAGGGTGGCTACGGTGAAATATCTTGGGACATTTCCCTTTAGAAATTGAGGACCCAGAGTCCTCAATGTCTTTTTCTGCAGCCCCAGCACTCAGTACAGAGGCTTTCCATTCATTCAGAAACTGATGATAGTAAAAAATATTTACTATCACCAGTTTAGGAATGGGGAGGAGCCTCAGTAGTGAGTGCTACTCCCCATTCATAAATGAACAGGAAGTGATGTAAATCACAGCCTGTTCATTCATAACTGGGGACACATAGTACTATGTGTCCCCAGTTATTTACAAACACCAGAGTGATCAGACGATCACTCCGGTGTTTGCTCTGCACAGGATTGGTAAATATCAATATTTATCGATCCCCCGTTCGGCCACACACAGAGCCGCTGTCAAACTGACAGGATGACAGCGGCTCTGGTATACACACCGCTCGGCCATCCTGAATTGCGGCCAGCCGCCGCTCGCTCCTCCGACACAGTTCCCTGCCTGAAGCGGCTCGAGGCAGGGATGAGAGGCTCCAGATGCAGCAGCGATGTAATGTACAAAATATGTACCGTATTTAGGATGAGAGTAAAATAAATGCTGATCTGAGCAGAGTCCAGGTTTACCAATCTAAGTATTCCTTACATTATTTTAATTTTCAGTTACCTTTTACGTAGGTTATTAATATCATAATGTAGGTGTCACAAAGCTGTGATTTTCAAAACAAACAAAAAATAGCAAATATGAGAAAAAAGAAAGAAGTGGTATAGGTGTGACATTATTCTTTTTTAATATATGCTTTAAGTAAAACAATCCTGTGCACTTACATGACACCAACCATGCAACTTCTTTTTCTGAAGCAGAGCTGCCTAAAGTGGCCTTATCTAGCAGTTCCATTAGCTGCTTCTGAAGACATACTGCATCCTTAAAAATGGCTTGAAGAAGATCCAAAACCAGATGGAGTCTTCCACTATATAGTGAATCACTTTCCTGAAAAATAACAAAATTAGAAATTAGGATATTAGTTTGCCAAATAAAAAATTAAATATAAATGTTATCCCAAAACTAAGGCACACTGTAAGAGGCACAATGTGCATCACACATACACTATATTGCCAAAAGTATTGGGACAGCCCTCCAAATTATTGCATTCGTGTTTTCTGTGAAATTTCTTTGCTACTAAATATTCCACATTCAACTGTTAGTGGTATTATAACAAAGTGGAAGCAACTGGGAACAACAGCAACTCTGCCACGAAGTGGTAGGCCACGTAAAATGACAGAGCGGGGTCAGCGCATGCTGAAGTGCACAGTGCGCAGAAGTCGCCAACTGTTTGCAATAGCTACAGACCTCCAAGCTTCATGTGGCCTTAAGATTGGCACAACAACAGTGCGTAGAGAGCTTCAAGGAATGGGTTTCCATGGCCGAGCGGCTGCATCCAAGCCTTACATCACCATGTGCAATGCAAAGAGTCGGATGCAGTGGTGTAAAGCACGCCAACACTGGAGTCTAGAGAAGTGGAGACGTGTTCTCTGGAGTGATGAATCACGCTTCTCTGTCTGGCAATCCGATGGACGTGCCTGGGTTTGGCGGTTGCCAGGAGAACGGTACTTGCCTGACTGCATTGTGCCAAGTGTAAAGTTTGGTGGAGGGGGGATTATGGTGTGGGGTTGGGCTTGGTCCCCTTATTCCAGTGAAGGGAACTCTTAAGACATCAGCATACCAAGACATTTTGGACAATTTCATGCTCCCAACTTTGTGGGAACAGTTTGGGGATGGCCCCTTCCTGTTCCAACATGACTGCGCACCAGTGCACCAAGCAAGGTCCATAAAGACATGGATGAGCGAGTTTGGGGTGGAGGAACTTGACTGGCCTGCACAGAGTCCTGACCTCAACCCGACAGAACACCTTTGGGATGAATTAGACTGGAGACTGTGAGCCAGGCCTTCTCGTCCAACATCAGTACCTGACCTCACAAATGTGCTTCTGGAAGAATGGTCAAACATTCCCATAGAAACACTCCTAAACCTAGTGGACGCCTTCCCAGAAGAGTTGAAGCTGTTATAGCTGCAAATGGTGGGCCAACTCAATATTGAACCCTACGGACTAAGACTGGGATGCCATTAAAGTTCATGTGCATGTAAAGGCAGGCATCCCAATACTTTTGGCAATATAGTGTAAATACACAAAAAAAAAAAAAGAATAGAAATATTATTAAAGCTAAAATATTTTTTTTTTAAATGATCCACACCTTGCAGTGGGTGAATGTTGTAACGAGAATTTGAAGCACTGATGCAGGAAGTGAATGGACATTTTCCAACGCTACTGGTTCCTCTGTAGAACAGACACCACGCACACAAGCGGTTAGAGCTTCCAACCAATGAGCCATATTCTGTTAACAAATACAAGAAATCAAATAAAATCAAAATGTAAGGGCCATAATGTGAAATTATTAAACATCCCAAAAACAATACATAAAATAATCTTTTTGTAATACTTTTTCTGGGGTCAGTGTGTATTTCTGTCTTTACTGCTGAGATTTTTGTTTGGTAGCATGAGCAGCTCAGTCTACTTTCTCCAGAAGATCGCAAACAGGCAGAGAACAATCTTTTATTGCAGAAGAGACAAAGTATTCCTTACTATGCCATTCTTTTTAGACATTTATATTTTTTGTTCCTCTTTACGCACTGTGACAAATACCCACGGATGAGATTTCCAGCTCACAGGATGGCACAGCACTTAGCAATGTCTACCCGGTCATTTTTTGGCTCAAAGGGTGGCTGAGCACATAACAATAGCTTTCTGGATCCAAGTAGCATCCGAATGGAGAGGAGCAACTTCATGGCATGAAACAATATTCAACTCCGTAAGGATCTCTAAAAGAATTCTATCAACACAATATGACCGCAGAGAAATCACCTTAATACATATTAACCCTAGCTGAACCACTATGAAGAAATAGATGTGGCAGCCACAGCTTTAGAGTTCGAAGGTTAAACCCCTGGTAAGATTCTGAGGCAATATTACAACTACTCATGCTTAAAACAACTCTGACATCTTTCTGCTGGCTAGCAGTAGATCTATGCAAAAAAAGCTGAGGGTTTAGAAACCCTTTAAGCTTCTATTCAAAATGTGTACATTAAATTTTTTTAATTTTATTTGTAGTTATTAAAAGGGGGAATTGTAGCATGAAAAATGTTTTTAGCCATTTGGGTAAAAAGAAATCCGTTACTTTTACTTCTTTGTCTGGAAGTGGGCCAGCATAAAGTACAATTTAGGTTTAACGCCATCAAGAGTTAGGTTGGCCATATACTTGTTTTTTTTCTCATTCAGCCTCGCAGGGCTATTGTATTCTTCAGCCCAGAAGACAGATTATATTCTGTGCCGCTGTCAGAATACCCAGCTAAATGGCTGCAGTGTTTGGGCGAGAAGATTTTCAGCCAACAAAAGCCGATTTAAAATCAAAACAAGGAGGTGCTGACAGACAGAGCCAAACACTGCTTTAAGGGCTCAGTCACACTAGATGCAGTGCGATGCGATCAAAATAGTGCTTGTAGCATTTTGATCGCACCGCACAGGTTCAGACCGCAGGCACAATGTGCCTTGCGATCCCGTGCGGCGGATCGCATTGCGGCCGGAGGGCGTGGCTACGGCGCCATTCACTTAAATGGCCCACCACGCCTCCTCCTACCCCACTAAAAAGTGAGCCGGGCACAATGCGAGGCAGTGCGTTCCGGCCAAAATCGGGCCGGAAACGCACTGCATCTAGCATCTGAGCAGTGTAAATCTGAGCAGTGTATGGACAGCTCCATTTTTTAAAAACAAAGATTAAATGGTTGAAAGGGAATTAATAATACTACTGCTATTGAAGCTTGAATCGTAGACCCTTGAAATAATATAAAACACCTGCAACATATTCCTTAATGAATTCTTCAGTTCTGTATTCTGACTTGAGAACTCCGATGACAGTCTTGAGATTTCAGCCACTATATTGTGAAATTCTTTCACAGCCTAAAGAAAAAAAAAAAAGTAAATTGTTTTAAGATTCCAAACCACTAGAAAATATAAAATACATTTAAACTGAAAATAACATTGTTTTTATTTTAAAAAATTGGGTTTTTAAGGTTAGAATTTTATAAACTATTTTAATTTTTATATTTACTTACATCTTTTTTCAGTTTACAACTAAACCTGTTATGAAGTAGAATGGAGGTTACCACTGATGGTCTCTACTTCTAAAGATAACAGCTAAAATAAGCCAAAAACTCCTTTGAATGCTTCACAAAAAAGTGGACCCCGGAACAAACTTGGCAAAATGCACACAGTAAGGAAGTGGTGAATTATCCTTCATAAATTTTTACTGCCATTCCCTATAGAGCTATGCATGTTCAATAAATATTTGTAAAGACTGACACTGTTTACATCATGATATTGTCCTGATACAAGTTTATTCATATATAAAATTCAGATAAAGCCAATGCTTTTCAGAGGCTGAGTCTTGCAGGGTGAGAAACAGTGTATGTGGACTTGGTAGTGAATAGATTGTTTGATTAATGACCATTGTGTAGATTGGCACAATGTCCGCCAGCAGATGGTTGCAGCAGCTACTGAAAATTATATAAAAATATCAGTGTGGTGCTTCAAATCTAATTTCCCTACAGCAGTCACAGCCTAAGGTGACCATGTAAGCCCCTTGATGTGCAAAAGCAGCCAGCCCAGTGTCCATACATCATATATATCAACACCATCTCCACATTATTAGGTGCTAACAATATAAAGAAAAAATATGCAGTAACTCAGCTGCAGTAACTTCCCGGCCAATCAGGAAACCGGGAGGCGAGTCATTAATCGCCGCCCAGCTTCCTGATATGCACGGGAAGCCGGCTCCATGTTCCCCTACGACAACATTGCTGCTCGTTTGATACAAGTGATCTGATCATATCACTTGTAAAAAAAAACGAGCGGCGGCTCCCCGCTGTGCATTCCAAAGCAGGGCTAAATGTACAAAAAAAAACAACTACTCGCCCAGCGCCCAGAACTGCATGTCCCGGGCGATAGGAATTCCACATCCCTGGACATCCTGACAGGACATGTGGCCTGGCCTGTGCAGGAAGGGTATTTGGCTGGCGATGCAAAGTGATGGTGCATCAGAGGAAAACAAACATAAACAGCCATCTCCCTGGGGCCCAACATTTCAAGTGCTTCTTGTACTCTATCCAGCTGGCCCAGACAAGGGCACAATGGACCGCACATAGAGCACTGGTGGGACACCACGGGTTTATATCAAGGGAATTTTACGCACTCATTCAACATTAACGCCAAACTCCAGGCAACTCAACCCAACACAAGAAATCCTATGATTTTCAATGGCCCCTGTTCACACCTGAGCAGCAAAATGCCAGCAGATAAAAGTCAAATGCAGAAAAAAGTACATGAACTTCTTTTGGCAGTTTCAAGTTCATTTTTCCCCCCATAGACTTCTATGGAAACACGCGGTAGAAGAATGTTGCACATTTTCATGCACGTTTGTTCATTGACTGCAATGTTTCTTAAGCTGCCAGTCAAAACATGCATTTTCATGGGCACACATCTTCATACGCATAAAAATGTGGCAAAGTGCAAATAACCGAACGCTGAATCCACGTGTACAAACGCGCAAAAACTATACCGCCAAGTTGTGAGCCTTATGTTCCCGTTAAGGAGATTTCTATCCAGATGACCAAACAGGAAGTTAGGAGAAATCCTCAATGAGGATACAAACAGCAATAAACCTTCACATTTCTCTAAATTCATGTTTTATTACTATGCGTGTCTGAATTGTAGGGATTTTGCTTCCTTTCTCTCTTACTGACCACACCGGAAGTGAGATAAAATCACTACAATGACTATAGAAACAGAAAAAAATACGTGGCAAGGTTTAGAACCCTTCCACACATTGTCCTAAACTAACTGGGGTGCTTTAAACTTTTGCAGAAAACATCACAATACCTTTGGCAGCACTTGTGAAAATACACCTTGTTCCACCTCAACCAAGCTGATATGAGGTAGAAACACTTCTGTAACAATCTTAAATAGTCCTGAAACAAAAAAACAACAACTTTGTAAGTATAAACATTTAAAGTTAAAATACACACAGTTGTTTATGTAACTTACGAATCATCTCCTCCCAGCTGTCTGAACCCTGAAACTTGGAGTGGAATTAATTAAGGAAAAGACTGAACACTGAATAATAATATATAATTATTATAACACATATTTTGTTCACACAGAAATAACCTCACCCATCCTGCCCTCAAACCTGGAGGAAAAGGTTCAATGTCATATTTTTATAATTAATTATGGATGACTTCTGTTCTGATCAGCAAGGGATCCGTACATGGATCCCCTGCTGATCGGAGCAGTTCAGAAAGGATGTCACCATTGTAACATCCATGCCCAGTTTTTTCCTCCACCTTGCAATGGAGGAAAAAATTTAAACTGCCGGATCCCATATGCGTCTATGGGGAATCGGATGTAAACAGACAAGTGTCCATTTACATCAGATTACCCCCAATACCGCACAATCTGGCCCAGTGAAACAGATCTCTGATCCGTCTGCTTCTTCGGACGCACCCTGAGGCAAGGGTAACCTGGTGTAAACAGATGCTCAACCGTTTCCACGTGGCTGCCCATAGACTTGCATTGGGCATCCGATCGGGTCCGCCTGAAAAACTGACAGGTGAACCCGATTGGAATGGCTGCGTGAAAGGGGCCTAAGTGACTTAGAATCTTTGGGAAATTGGACTGTTTGCTCCATGTTTAAATTCAAGAATAATATTGTTACAGTGTATTTATAAACAAAGCCTGAAAACAGAGTTCTCAGGCTGAACTGTATTAAAGCAGCTGCTGTCAGCACTCCTACAGCATAGACTGGGACCTGGTTGTCAAAATTGCAGTCACTCAATTGCAGCCAGTTTCAGTGATTTCAGGCAGCTCAGGAGGTGTGTTGGGCAGTAGACCAGGATGTAGCAGGTACACCCAAGAACTTCACTGAAGCATTTTTTTTGGGTGTACCTGATGTGCCAAAAGGTCCACAACTAGTTAAATACCGTAGAGTGTAAGTCAGGGCAAGGGCTCGTTCACACCAGATGCAGTGCGTTCGGCTCACTATGTTGTGGGGCAGGAGGGGGTGTGGCGGTCCATTGAAGTGAATGGCACCGTAGGCACGCCCTCCGGCCGCAATGCACATTATGCCTTTGGTCTAGTCCGGTCAAAATGCTGCAAGCACTGTTTTGATCGGACCGGAGGCATAATGTGCCTTGCGATCACGTGCGGCAGATCGAATTGCGGCCAGAGGGCGTGGTTACGGTGCCATTCAGTTCAATGGTCCACCACGCCCCCTACTGACCCACAAAGCCACGCCCCCTCCTGCCCCACGATGCAGTGCGTTCTGGCCAGAACGCACTGCATCTGGTGTGAACAAGGCCAGAATGAGAAAAATCAAACATTCAGTATATCTTTCCAACACATTCCCGCAAGTTTTTCCTTTTTAAAAATACTGAACTTGCTAGAAATCCAGTGAGTTTGAAACTATCAGTGCATGCTGCCTGTGCAGAAGTGTGAATCTGGCCAAAAGCAGCCTTGTGGGACATTCTAAAACATTTAATATGAAAAGGGCTTAATGTGTAAAATAAAAAAGTGCCTAAACCTCAATTTCCTTGAAACTTTGCCGCACCAAAAGCCTTCAACTTCCCAAGTTTCATGGATTTGTTTTCCAGAAGGAAAATGAGTGACATTAAAACTTCCTTTTTTTACTTTGTATATCAGGGTAGCACAGATCGTGTCCACATCTGTTATTTAAAAAAAAAAAGTTTAAATTCGTTTTCTAGTGGGTCCCCACATCACTGTCTCCCACGCCCCCTGAAAGGGTGCCACCAGCAGCTGCTATGGAGGAATCCATGCTTGCATGTTCCCGCAGTGGCTGTGTGTGTCCATAGACAGCCCTGCAAGAAGCCACGCCGCTCCTCTCCGCCCAACAGGTTGATTGATAACAGAAGGAGCCTATGGCTCCTGTGCCCTCAATCTCCTACCCCTCAAACAAAAAGTTTGGGTCAGAGGATCGCTGCAGGGACTGGCGGTGGTGACAGGTAAGGGGTGGAGGAAGAGTTCAAAAAAGGTACAGTGCGGTTCCATCTAAATATCTGACATTTCCAGGTGTGTAGGCTAGAGTTGCCCCTGTTTGCAGATTTTCCTTTATTGGACCTTGGTGCATAGCTGGGAACACACCTGGAAGTATCAGACAATGGCAACACCCAGAGCGCTCAATGTTGAAGATTTGATGTCCTAACTAGGGATTTGCATGAGCTTGGAACTAACCAAGTCAACCTAAAACCGTCAGTGACACCACCTCCCCTCCTGGGCCAATCAGCTGTGGCCTGGGCTTTTCCCCACCCCTGTTACACTTAGGTGTGGGGGGGAAGGGAATGCCCTGGCCACATACTAGGCCAGGAGGCAGTTGCTCACTGACAGTTTTAAGTGGACTTACATGAACCTGGTTTGCTCCCAAGTCCACCCACATTCCCAACCACCTGAAAGGCAAACATTTATCTGCCTTGTTTATCCGCTGCCCACATTGTACTTGTTATCCACTGAAGAAACACGTGATTTAGTAGACATGGAGTGGTTACAGGTCCTCTTTAAAATGATTTCCACCTATGTTAGACAAAAATACAATTATAATGCAAAGGTGAAACATGTAAACAAAACGCCGTGTATACACATCTATGTCCACGTCTTATATAAAGTAGGATATCAGAAGTTTGGGCAGAGCTTGTTGTAACTCTCTCCGGCATGTCTCCTGGCTCCAGCTCCTCATCTCCTCCAGTGTGTCTGTCTGCGACATCTTCCCTGGTGACCGGCTAACTACTGACTGTGCCTGTGGATGAGGAGAGTGTCGCCAAGTTCCATGAGTCCGGGCGGTCTGTCCGCTCCGTGTTGTACTGTCACCGCGTCAGTATGTGGAAGTTCTGCAGTTTAATGACACCAGTACACCCGGCTGTGTCCCGTCTGATCACTGTACTGTTCAGCCATTGACAGAGCAGCTAGTCCTGGGTGCGCGGGAAACAAACTGGCCCCGCCTGATCCTTTACCTCAGCATGTGACGTATGAAGGAAAAAGTCCTATGTGATGTCAACGGATTTTCCTAGCCGTGCTTTCATGGAATCTCTGGCTGCTGGCACAGGCTGCGGATGAAGCCTCCTTCTGATAAGCTTCCTGCAGTGAAAAACTTTCACAAGCAGCCCTCCTGTGCTGTTCAGAGGTTTACATGTCCTCTCATGAGAACCTCTTCTATTGCAGACAGCTTCTGGGTTGTACTGTCAAGACTACAGTATTTGTATAGTTGCAAAGTAATTTGTATAGGTCTCAAAGTACCGGCCCGCGAGCCGGTACTATGCAGCCAGCTCACAAGTCAGGTGATTGATTGGTAAGGTCTGCTGCAGACCTCACTAATCAATCACCAAGGATCGTGCTTCCTCACACAGCCGCCTCCCTGCAAAAAGTAGTAAGCAGGAGAGGGGGCTCTGTATTAAATTATTCATGTGGGTGGGTGGGGGATAGGGTTGCCACCTTTTCTTTCGAAAACTCGAACACTCTAGCAACGCATAGAGATTTTTTGGGGAGAATGAGTTGCGGCTCATTCATATAAATAGCGCTACCCATTCATATGTAAATATCAGAGTCAAGACTATTTTCAGTGGGGGGCCAGAAGCCCCTATCTTAATTTTGGTTGCCCCTATCTGCCTGACATCATGTGTCCGGATCTCAGCTGCCATGAAACCCGGACACAGCTTTCAAAACCCGTACTGTGCGGGTGAATCCCGTAAGGTGGCAACCCTATTGGGGGACGACTGGGACTATTATTTTATATGTGGAGGGGGTATTTTTTTGTGTATGTACAGGGAGGTGTATTATTTTATATGTAGAGGTGTAGTATTTTTTTATGTGTAGGGGGGTTTATTTTTAGGCGGGATTAGGGATTCCTGCGTTAGGAATTTGCGTTTTCCTACAGTAGGAATCCCTAATCTGACGTTTGCAAGCAGCATCTGTCACCAATTAAAGTTAATGATCGGGTGACAGCAGCTGAATGTAAACGCCTGCACACCGCATGTAATCACTCCCTGGATGCACAATTGATGCGTCCAGGGATAGTGATTGATTCCTAATCACATGTAATTATATCACATACCATTACATGCGGTGTGCAGGCGTTTACATTCAGCTGCTGTCACCCGATCATTAACTTTAATTGGTGACAGATGCTGCTTGCAAACGTCAGATTAGGGATTCCTACTGTAGGAAAACGCAAATTCCTAACGCAGGAATCCCTAATCGCACCTAAACCTACAGATATGAATGGGGCCTTATTGTGTGTGTATTGGGGTCCGTTGTTCCATACCGGATATAGTTACATTTTATTTTAAAGTAGGAAATTTGGCAAGTGGCCCCCATGGGAGAAATACATTTGTTGAGTGGCCCCCCGAGTGAATTGAGTTTGAGACTCCTGACTTTGTGTATAAGTGGTGTGGCATTGTTCTACGTATGCTAGGAATTAGGGGTATGCTGAAGAGAAGGTGGGAGAAAAATAATTGTGTCAGTGGATGCAACAATAACCCCCAGCATTGGTGTCACTGCACACCGTAATAACCCCCAGCATTGGTGTCACTGCACACCGTAATAACCCCCAGCATTGGTGTCACTGCACACAGTAATAACCCCCAGCATTGGTGTCACTGCACACAGTAATAACCCCCAGCGTTGGTGTCACTGCACAAAGTAATAACCCCCAGCGTTGGTGTCACTGCACACAGTAATACCCCCAGCGTTGGTGTCAATGCACACAGTAATAAACCCCAACGTTGGTGTCACTGCACACAGTAATAACCCCCATCGTTGGTGTCACTGCACACAATAATAACCCCCAGCGTTGGTGTCACTGTACACAATAATAACCCCCAGCGTTGGTGTCACTTCACATAGTAATAACCCCCAGCGTTGGTGTCACGGTACACCATCGTTACACGACCTCCCTCCGGTCCCCTCTCCTCTGTCAGAATGCGGAAGTGATGTACTGTACATCTCCCTGGATAAGACACCAACTTCCGGTAAGGTGCAAGCCAACCTCTGGCTTATCGGACACCTCCAATTGAAGTCCCTCCTTGATGAATCTTCCCAGGTTTAGGCTACACTCCTCCTGGAAAAATCCATCCAGTAAGGCCATGACAGCCTAGGCCCAATACTCAGGCCCTAGTTCAACAGCATGTTTGTCCTTCATTGACAGCAGGTCTAGGGATACAAGACTAACACACACCCTCTCCCACATATGGCAGTATCCAGCTGATCACAAGATATTGCATAAATACTGTACCATCAGCAAGAATTTCAAAGACCCATGTACTGTAAACCTCAGATAATTTAATGTAATTATTAATAATAAGTTAAACTCTTCCACCACACACATTTCTGCACACAGAATATAGACAGAGAGCTAAAACTTTATCTGAGTCTACCCTAAAGTGGAACTAATGGATCCAATACTCAGTTGACATCTTATAACCAGCTTCTTCTCGGTTCGGCATCTTCAGCCACCTTGATTGGGTGGGCTGGGTTGATGTAACTCCCAAGCTTGTGCACGGGAGTCCATTATTCCTGGTGCTAAGGAATGCCAAGAATATGCACTGAGCTGCATAAGCACAGCTTAGTTACAATTAGAAGAAGTTTGCAAGCAGGCGGGTAAGAATGTTTGTTTTATTATTGAAGAGACATAGTATGACTGTTCAGCAATAAAAAGCGTGGCTGCTCACACTGTTTTGTTCAGTAAAGTAACATTCCCTATTAAAGAACATTTTCGCTTAAGTAATTGGAAATCGCTTAGCAACTAGAAACTGTTAAGACAATTAATACTTTGGTGAGGAGTTAGTAATATACAGCAGAACTTACTAGAGCAGCTAAGTAGTTCTAAGTATTATATAACATAGCATATTGAGTGCATATATGGGGGTGTGTCTGGGTTATGCTCTGTGCAGAGTGGTCAATATGGTGCCCTTTACATTTGTTGTCAGTGGAAAAATGCCTCCTTACATTGTTGGTTAGTGGGAGAAGTGGTGACTCATGTTGGTCATAAGTGGAGAAGTGCACCCCTATATTGCTGGTCAAGAAGTTGCCCTTTACATTGGAGGTAAGTGGAAATAAGCCCCCTTATATTGGTTGTTAGTGGAAAAGTGTCCCTTATGTTGGCAGTTAGTAGATGTCAGGTACCTGCCCGCGGGAGATGCCGAGTCCCTCTGCGGGGACGCAGACAGAGAGGGCGTCCACCGGCACGTCCCGGCCGCGCAGACGCAAGAAGGCCCGGCGGGTCACGCCCCATGCGGAGTGACGTCATCGCGGCAATACGGCGCGTTGACGTCATCACGCCGGTGCATGCGCAGTAGCACGTCCTCGGTCTATATAAAGCACCACAGGACGCCCATTCAGTGCTGGGTGATCTTCAGCCAGCTCTGGAGGGTTCTGCTGTGCTCTTATGCCTGTTCCCATTGTCTCACTTGCCTTGCTCCTGCTCCTGCTCCTGCTCCTTCCCCATTGGGATTCCTGTTTCCAGTGCCTTCCTATTACCGACCCGTCTTGTCCACAGACCCCTCTCTGGTTAACCCCTTGTACTCTGCTGCCCGCACGTTATTGACCCGGCTTGTCTCAAGACCTCTCTCTGGTTAACCCCTTGTACTCTGCTGCCCGCACGTTATTGACCCGGCTTGTCTCTTACTCTCCCTTTTGCTGAACCCTTCAAGCACGACGGCTATTCTGCCCGGTCACCAAGTAGACCTCGTGACCTCAAGATCCGCATCCAGCACTCGTGCATCCCCTGCCTGAACCTACTGTTCTCAACCCCAGTGGTCATCAGACGGGGTTGCAAGGGAGGTCCTCCTCGTCACTTTGGGCCCACACCTCGATCCTAACAGTAGAGGAGTTCTCCCTTATACCGGTGATCAGTGTAGTGCACCTGTCCAATTACATTGTTGTCACTGATGTAGTTCCCCCACTACAAAATGATTTCAATAGATTACAGTACATAGCTATACAGATAATATTATTGTTAGGTACCTGTACTTCTATTTGGAACTACATGGAACTAAAAATATGTGTATTGTTCATAACTCTCCATGGTAATAAAAGGTCCCTTTGTCATGGGTTAGTGATGGTCAAAAAATGTGTGCTCTACTTGATGTGGAGGAGTAGCAGAAAGTGATTTCAAAGGATGCCATTACCTTTTTTCCCTGAAAATTGAATGTTCTGGGATTCAGTTTTTTATGCTGTTCCAAAAGTCCACTTTTATGCAAAAGACCCATGGACCAGAATAGTGATGTTCAATTTTTTATGTTTACCAAACTTTAAAAAAAAATGTTTCATTTTTTTCCCATCCTTGTCTTTTGGCATCTTGGTAACACAATAACATTCTAAAGCTTATGTTTTGCCTAGTTGTTTAATGATAATGTACCAGTGAACAGCAAGTTGCTTTGAATGGATTACATAGCTATACAGTAATTACTAATAAAGTCTAACTGTGTTTACAGTTACACTATACATATTTTCTGTGCAGTTACGCTTTAAGCTGTTTGGCAAGGGTGGTAACCTTGTCATTAGGGACAATAGTTAATAAGAAATTATGGATATGCATATTCTTTCTAAACATCAATTGTATTAAAAAGTCCCTTTCTGATGGGCTAGCAATTGTCAGAAAAAAAGTTGTTTGATCTAACGGATAGCGGAACAGCAAAAGTCATTTCAAAGGATGTAATTTCCTTTTTTGAAAAATGAACATCCTATGATACTTTTTTTTATTCCAGAAATTCACAGAATATACAAAAGACCCTTTATCTCAGGGAAGTCCCTTACTGAGAATGTTGCGGTTTTAAAACTCTATGTACATGTATTGCCAATTGCCATCCTATGCAAGAGATGGCCCTCACCTCATTTCCATCTTATAGGACATAGAAGTATTTGAGGATACATTGCTGGTGGGATTAAATGCACAAGGCACAGTCTCCTCTGCTCTAACTTGCATGGCCGCAAGGAACTAAGTGAAAGCTCCTAATGGGGAGCAGGACTGCCGAGGAGACTGCTGGCGGCTGCGGCCCAGTTCCTAACAGACCATGGACTGGTACCAGTCTGCGGCACGGGGGTTGAGGACCCCTGCACTAGATGAGATTGAGGCACATAGTAAATAAGTCTTTTTTTCCTGTGCTCCTTAGCATCATGTAAAGGTGTTATTACACTCAACCTGAAAAGATCCAAAGTATAAGAACATTCATCATTACCTCTATACACACATAACGAATGTTCACAGAGATTCACGGGGAGAATGGCTCTACAATTTGCTTAGAAATAGACCTGTTTCAGTTATTTTAGTGGTTTTACTCACTTCTCTGAACTCAAGGATATGTGCGAGACATGTATATAGAAGGAGGAGTTTGGATCAATTTTCCTGTGCCATATGGCTTATTTAAATTCTTCCACATTAACCTATTTTCTTTTGTAAATATTAATTTTGAACTTGGCAATACATGTAATAGTAGGTCAGTTAATTTGGGGGTCTAAAGATTTGTATAGCGATTTGTCCATTGCAACTGTATGTACATTTGTGCTGTGTAAATTATTCAGCTGTTGTAAGAATTGGCCAAAATCAATTGTTTTGGGGCTATTTTCTCTTATTATTATTAATATTATTATACAGGATTTATATAGCGCCAATAGTTTGCACAGCGCTTTACAATATAAGGAAGACATTACAGTCACAACACAATTCAAGACAAGATGGTAAGGAGGGCCCTGCCCGTGAGGGCTTACAATCTAAAAGGGAGGGGCAAGTGATACATGAGGAGATAGCTGCGCGGGGATGATTGTTTGAGAAAGTGATTGTTCAGTGGTTAGGGTGAGGTGGGATAGGCTTCCCTGAAGAGATGAGTCTTAATGGATAGCCTAAAGGCAGTCAGTGTGGGAGATAGACGAACAGGTTGGGGTAGAGAGTTCCATAGGATGGGAGACACTCTAGTGAAGTCCTGGAAGCGAGCATGGGAGGAGTTGATGAC